GCAACAGTTCTGCCTCCTTGTTTCCTGCAATCTCTCCTGTTTTATTATTTTAATTTATTTGCATCTGAAGATTTTCATGTATGAGAAAACATGATATTCGACTTTCTGTGTCTTGTGTACTTCTTTTAACATTATATTCTCAAGATCTAGCCAATTGCCTGTAAAATGCCACAATTTCACTCTTGTATATGGCTGAATAATACTCCATTGTGCACATAGATCATATTTTCTATATCAGTTTGTCTTTTGCCAAGTATTGAGGCTATTTCCTGTGCTTAGCTTTGTGAATTGTGCTGCTATAAACAGGGTTATGCATGTAATCATTATAGGAGGATCCTTCTAATTCTTTTGGAACTATACCTATGACAGATATAGCTGGGTCAAAGGAATTTCTATTTTTAATTTTTTTGAGCAATGTTCATGATTTTCATAGTGGCTGTTCTACCTTACATTCCCACCAACAGTGTACAAAGGATCCATATCTTCATCAGCATGTATTGTTTTTACTGTTCTTCAGCTATTTTTACAGAGAGGGAGCCAGAATCTCGGAGTTGATTTGATTTTCATTTCTCCAATAACTAAAGCTGTTGAACATTTTTCAAGGACTAATGGGCCATTGGTACTTCTTTTGTAAAGTCTCTTCAGTTCATTTGCCCATTTTTTAATTAGGCAATTTGTTTTAAAGGTTTTTTTTCTTTTAGTTCTTTGCATATTCTATACATTAGTCCTCTGTCAGGAGAGTAGCTGGCAAACCTTTTTCCCATCCTGCTGGCTGTCATTTCATTGTCTATTATCTCCTTTGCTGTGCAGAAGCTTTTTTCAAATGAGAAAATACTGATTATCATTAGTGAATACTAATGAATAAGAGTTGTCTACAAACTCCTACAGAAAAATATGACATCAACAGCATACTCATTTGGTGTATTCTGTGAGCCACTCAAACACTATTGTTAGAGAAAGCCTTGGAGATCTTCTCTAAATTTGTCATTTTGGTTGAGGAAAGTAAAACCTAAAAATGTGAGTGATCTATCCAAAGAGTTACTGATAGTTGGAAGAACTGAGGCTGTCTCCTGGGAGAGACTTCTACAACTATTACACCGTGAAATTCTACACGTTTTTGGTTTCCTGTGCATTGTTAGTGACTCAGACGTGCTGAGGGAAGCCACCACACTTCCATCTCAAGGTTGACTCCAGTTCAAATCACATCCATTGGCAGTACTTGAATATAAATCACTTAACAAAGGGGCCCATGGACCTCAAAGCATGCCAAACATCGAAAGCAAGGGGCATCCTTGCACAAAAACCTTTGCCTGGTATGCAATGCTGTAAGAATGACTTCTGCTCTATAAAAGGGATGTTCTAGGCTTGCCATACATATAGCTATAAAGTTTGATAAATTCAGTATTTTAAGCATTCCTGGAGAAATGGGGAGGGTACTACTGCATGTTGACCAGGTAGCATGGCCAAGGTTATGTCCAGTGAAGTTGAAATAGATCTGCAGAGAACAGTTATCTCCTAACTCTGTGATATGTGGCTTAAGTCCAGCCATGCTGCCTTCTAAGCAAATCTTTTTCATTGATTTATCGTCATATGTACGAAGAGGACAGGCCCCAAAGTCGGAGACTATACAACTCATCTAAAATTTGTTAGAATTAAAAGTGGGAGTTAAACATGACTATCAGAAGCCTGCCCTGGGCTATATAAATAGGAAACCTTGTATATAAAAACTGTCAGCCTGTCTCAATTTATGCCAGTCACACTGGAAATCTGACTCCTTTATCTTTGTATTTAATGAGTATGTTCTGAGTATGAATATTTTGCCTCTCAAACCCAGGCAGTAGGTATTTCTTGGAATTTCCTTTGGGGAAATGGCGTTTGGCTTGTTCAGACATGGGCAGGTTATAGGCGTAATGTGCAGGGCAGAACTTGGCATCACCTAGCGTCTGGCGTGTGCTACGCTACTCTGTGCACTAAGCAGTGAAGCGGCAATAAAAGGCAGGTTGGGGAGAATCCACCCCACTTCATTGAGAAAACAGAGTCATCTTTTCCGGAGCCTAGGTTAACATTTTGGGTTTGTATGTGTTCTTACCTTTTTTGTACAACTTCTGGATTGAAAATAAAAGCTAGACAAAAGGCCTGATAGATAACCTTAGTAAATAAAACAAAACTTACCAGACTCAAATAGGCCCAGAGCATGCATTATTTATGTGACAAGCTAGTCACTGTGGCTCCTAGATGTTAGGCATGCCAGAAAAAGGCATTCAGAAATAGAAACCTGTTGATACAAGTAAGAATTTGCGTGTAGTATTTACTTAAATAGACTACTGAAAAATGGGCTTGATGTAAAGGAACTTGCTAGAGACCTGATGTGTCTTTCTGATATGTCTTCCTTTCCAGCCTAGAAGACGGGGTGTGTGTGTGTGTGTGTGTGTGTGTGTGTGTGTGTGTGTGTTTGAGGTTTCTCTCTTCTGAGTGGAGATAGATCACCCCAGAAGTACAGTGTATCACGCACAACATGCCAGAGGAGCTAGGTAGGTTTGTGCTATGGAACAGTCAGGTCACCTGTCCCTGCCCCTGAGACTTGAGGAGGGAACACCTGCTCCCCCATTACCTCACCGAATGTGGCCGTCTGCTCACCACCAGCCACATCAGTGCAGAATAACCTCAATTGTTCCTCCACAGCAGCTGAGCAACAAGAAGCTTTGTCCCGCCTTAAACTCTTGTTCTTATACTTCCCTTGCTCTAATGCCTGTCCTTAAAGAAAATGAAGCAAAGCAACTTCATTATTTTGAAGCTTCTGTGGCAGGAGCTCCCAAGAACTCTTAGTAAAGAATTGCAAAAGACTTTGCTTTTACTTACCAATCTCTTTGATCATCCTGAAGGGCTGGCCATGCACAATGTAGGTGCACAGGGCAGCGCAGGTCCAGAAAGGTGGATTAACAAACTGCCTAGGTCTTCCTTCCCATGATATGAGAAGGGCCATGTGGTGAGAACCTGCTTCAGAGTTTCTCAGCAGAAAAAAAATGGGGCAAGCCAGAAATCAACTGAATGGAAAGGAAACCATGAACCTTGCTGGGAGGGGAATGGGTATGCACCAAGATGGGTTCTGAAATGAAGCAGACTTGATTGTAAAATTCTCACTCTTCTGAGAACAAACTCAAGAAGCCTAGTATTACCACATCGTAGTTTCCAAACTTATAAACTGGGAAGAGTAACACCTAGTCCCCAAGTTTTCTGAAAGGACTGAGTTAGAATGTACATATACCCTGTAGAGCAGAGTGCCTGGCATGGAACAGTTTCTTTAAAAGAATAATGAATCACCTTTTCAGTCATTACAAAGCAGAGAACCTAAAGGCTCATATCACTGTTTTATGTTGCTTTCCAAAGCTGTGTGTTGCATAATACAGTGATCTGAATTTATAATTGCTTGTAAAACACATTTAATGGAATTAGTACTATTTGTTCATTATGATTAAAAATCAAACTAGCTGTGGTCTTCAAAACATAGTATATTCTAAATCATCTACAATCCATGCTGATTTTTAGTGCACAGGAATCAGGGATGAGCTCTTTGAGCTGAAACCCTCAGCAAACTAGAGTATATATTGTTCTTTGGAAACAGTTCATTAATGTACTTGTCTTACAGAAATTTCTAGACTTTAATAAAAAAAATAAAGTTAAACTTTAAAAAAAAACTTGCATGCTGTGTGCAATATCCCAATTGTAGGTTTACAAAGAAAGAACAGTAGCCGTAGAGCAAGCTGGCAGCTTCAGGGAGCTCAGAGAGGTAGTAGAGCACCTTAGAGCTGTTTAGTCCAGAAATTACTGATGTTACAAGTGAGAGTTTGGTTTGGCCATCATTAAACTCCACTGGAAGCCTAATAACTGAGCATCACATAGTCAGAAAGAGAGTTTTGTGTACAGGCTTCATAAAGTATGCTGTTTCAGACTCCACTCCAACTTTTAAATTAATCTAGTCTGTTCTGTTTGCATTGTCCTTCCAAAATTACAAAAAGAGGCATGAAAGACATTTAACAAATCATATACCCTGCACACCTATACCTTATTTCACAGAGTAGGAGCCGAAGCCTGAGAGAGATCATGTTGGCAGGCAGGATCTGAAACCTCTGTGCTCTATGGGTCAAGAAGTGTAAGTTTCTGTGGTCTGGCTCCTTGTAGTGAACTGTGCCATTCCTGTGTCTACAGAAAGACACATTCAAAATCTCTAGTGGGCAGAGAGTCCTGAGGGTGCTCACCAATTCTTCTGGCAGGGGAAAGGTAAGACAGCATGATGAACCATCATGACTCGTGAAGATGGAAACCCAGCGTCCAGTCTAGCCGGGCTTCTTCCCAGATGAGTGGCTTTGTGCTCATTCACTGTCCTCTCCAAGCCTGGTTTCCTAAGCTCAAAGAAGTGTGATCACCATCTAAGCAGTCATTTAGGTAAATCTGTATTCCTATTTGAAAGGCTCTAGGCAAATTCCAACTATTATTATACTTTGGTTGTCACCATTGGCTTGCTCTGGAATCTTTGAGACTCTCTCGGGACTCTAGAGCTTTCTCATCTGTAAAGAAGACAGCTGACACAGCCCTCTTGCAGGCTTAGTGACCTAGTGTCTTCTGGGATGTTGTTGAGGAGACTCCTGGGCCTCAGTAGTTAGTACCCACCATAGCTGGATGGAGACTTATAATGTTAAAAGGGCCCCATCTGGATTCTGTTATGGCTGGGCTGCGATCTCTCTCTCTGAAAACTGCTGTCCTGTAAACTCGGTCTACAAAGAGCCATGGTATCTGCATCCTATAGAACCTGACAAAGATTGTTTTATCAGTAACAGAGCCAGTACCCCATGCATGGCTTCCAGTATATAGATCCTGTTCTTCTGACCATACAGAAGCCCAGTCCGTTCACTCGTTTCCATCTGGGCTTCCATTCTCGACCACAGAGCTCAAGTTACCTGTACTTCATTGAGTGTGATTGCCTTTTTCTGCTTTCTCTGCAGACACATTCGCCAGCAAAGTGGCAGCCACCCAGGACCAGTACGCAGACGCATCCATAGGTAACGTGACAGGCAGCAACGCAGTGAACGTCTTCCTGGGAATTGGCGTGGCCTGGTCCATTGCTGCCATCTACCATGCGGCCAATGGGGAACAGTTCAAAGTGTCCCCTGGCACGCTAGCTTTCTCTGTCACTCTCTTCACCATTTTTGCTTTCATCAATGTGGGGGTGCTGCTGTATCGGCGGAGGCCGGAGATCGGAGGTGAGCTGGGTGGGCCCCGGACTGCCAAGCTCCTCACATCCTGCCTCTTTGTGCTCCTGTGGCTCTTGTACATTTTCTTCTCTTCCCTGGAGGCCTACTGCCACATAAAAGGCTTCTGAAGGAACAATCTGATATAATAAATTTATATATATATACATATATATATACATAAAAATTATGTATAACGAACAGAGAAAACTGACATTTGTCATGTTCACTCACCTGCTGATGGAATCCAGCTTCAAGAGCTTACTCTGTACTAGGGCCAAAGGCAGAAACCATCACCTCCCATTCCCAGGGGCGTCAAATCAAGTTGGACAAGGCACAGAGGCAGGGCCATCTCTGCAGCACAGCCAAGAAGAGCTGTCCTCTCTCCAGGTTCCTAGACGGTGAAGGCTTTGATTTGTTTTCTTGTTTTTGACTTACTTTCAGCGGGATCAGTGGGGTAGCTGATATTTGGCTTTTTGTTCTTTGTTTTGTTCCTCATTTTGTTTCCTTGGCGGGGGGGGGGGGGGAGTGTCAAAGTCCTCACTTCTCCTTTGGGAGAGATGGTGACTCATCTGAATGTAAATGGGCTTGGTGTAAACATTGAAATCATGAAGATTCCCCTCACCTCTCCCAAACATTTTAAAAATTACTTTGGATTGAGAAAGGATCTGGGCATGGAAGAAGAAAGAAGTGCATCTTTGTGTATTACCAAATTTCATGTTCATCTCCAGAAAATGAACAGAGGTAAAGCTGCCTCCAAGAATCCCAGTAGCTGGAAAGGAGCTAGGAAAATGATGGTTCTATATGTGGTCTAATATTTAGGGATATGGTGCCCGGCACTCTTGTTCAACAGGTACAGGGGTAACGTGCCTAGATTCCCCAGATCATGCAAAATCTTTTTTTGTTTTTCCTCTTATCTCTTTAGCTCTGGACTGTGATCAGCAAAGCCCTTGTGTGCTCCAGCCCAGCTGTACTCCCAGAAGTCCCCTCCCAACCCTCTTCCCCCTGCCCACCCGCCCTCCATACAACCTGGAAGAATAATCCCCTCCTAAAAGCACATCATCCTTTTCTATCTGCATCAGTATGTGCCTGTCCCACATTGCTGTTGCTGTTGGCTGGGATTGTCCATCAGTTTTGTTTTCCAAAGCATCCATGGCTTGCACAACCCTGTTCCAGTCATGACTGAACATTTGCTCCTGTTCATGTGTCCATTTGGGAATGTTGATGTGATACCTGTTACACAGTGCATGGATGAAAAACAAATAAAACAAAGCGTATCTGTATATAGTAGAGTATAGCATATGCTGTTCTCCCAGTCAGAAACACTGATTGGACATGGAAGACATGAGTGAATTTTTGTTTCACCTGAGTTGTTACTTTTCTGTTGTTTCTTAGTTTGATTATGCCTAGGGATAAAAGAAGAAAATGGCTTATTGTTCATGAATCTGCACGTTCATTTCTAAGAAGCAATAACTGTGGAGAGAAGTGAAAGTTAATGAGAGGATAACACGCAAACCCAAATATCGTCATGAAAAATTAGCCATGTGGGAACATATCAGAGGCCTTTTGAGTCTGCCCCTCATTCAAGACAGCCAGGGAGAAGGCGCTGGAGAGAAGTGTATGCACTTAGCGTTCCTGGGCACTCGGGGCCACCATTTCCACGCCACCCCTTCCCCCAAAGTATTTATTGCAAGCTAATCTGTCTGGTACAGATGATAGATTGTGCTGGGTTGTTTGTTTTATTGCTTTTTATGTAAAAGGCTATTTTGAGCACTGTTTCTTTCATCATCCAGTCCAGACCCCACGAATTGTATCAGTAGTTCCTGGGAAAGAAATGAGCCAGGGTGACTGATGGGCCTTTAAAAGTGTTTCCCTCTGCTTAGGACTAAGGAGAACCCTTTAAAAAAAAAACAACTCTTTCTATTTCAAAAGAACAAAGAGCATGGATAAACCTAACATTCCCAAGTGTTGATTCCACCAAGGAGGAAAAATGGAGTAACTTGCTCACTGTTCAGAGACTTCCTTGTCTCTGCAGGATCTCAGACTGAAGACATTCCTGGACCTCCTATTGGTTCAGAGATGCTTAAGAAAGAGATACTGCTCTTCCTCCACTCAGTAATCATAGCCGTTCATTTCGTAAACATTTAACTGAAGGCTGGTTGCATGCTCAATATGCCACATAGTATGCTGCTTTCTGGAGACTAAGTTATGACCAAGATAGCCCAGACGCCTGCCCTCAAGGAGTCTACAGTGAATGTGACTGCTATTTCACGTGTGAAAGAGGAAACAGTCATACTGAAACAGTTTACCTTGCAAGGAAAGCGTTATGAAACTATTTCAACATAAATACTTCCAACATAAATACAGTGAAGGTTGCCCAGGGGCTATGGTTTCCTTTAAAGCTCAGGTTTGGAGAAAGAACCCTCTGTGTCCTTGGATAGCTGGCAGATATGTACCACTCCCCACTTTAAGCCAAGAATGGCAAGCTCAGTGACCTGTGTCACTAAGAACATGCAGTTAACCCATTGTTCTCTTTGCAGCAACAATAATTTTCCATGAACTACCCCTGTCCTATCATGGCCCACTGACACCAGTAACAGCATTAGGTAGGGGTGTATTTTAATCCCTGTCCCCCACTTTTGAAGACTGAGAAATGGAAAGTTAGCCTAGAAACACCAAGTAAATATAGTCAGAAGATATAAGTTGTTAAACATTAGAAAGATTTTTGCACTCATTTGTTTTGGAATATAATAATTCCATAGCAAATCTTCACAGGAGACTTCAAGAAATTCTTGTTCTTGGTCAATTTCAATTTCAAAGCTTTTTGGTTTGTTTGCCTTTTCAATTTTCATGCTATAGGGAAAAATATGATTCTGGTTGTTCAGGGTTGTTGTTAATTATTATAGTTGTGTAAAATTGTTTCATTTTGTTTGATTATTTTATTTTGTGTGTATTGTGCACAACTTTAGGGGGAAAGTACACTAATTGTGCTGTTCCTTATAAATGGTACACATTATTGACACAGACAAATAAAGTTTCTAATTGTTTCTGATTTAATCACCAGTGATGCAGAATATTCAATTTGGCTGTTTTCTCTCTTCTCATTGTCATCTACTTCATTTTTTTTTTTTGGTTTTTTTTTGTTTCGTTTTCATGTTTTGATGAAATAAAGACCAAAAAAGGTATTCCTGCGCAGTTGATATCCACTGCAAAAGAAAGACAGTGGGCACCCAGTCCCCAAGCTCTTGCACATGCCAGCCCTCTGGTTATACAGTATCGTCTTTTTTGATGCCCAAGAGAGCACAGAGCCAGAATATCCATCTGTTTTACAATCCTGAAAGAAATGCTGGTGTTCCTCCATTTCACTATTTTCTTTTTTACATTCTTAGTCTTACTCTATCCATCCTTTCTGCATGCCAGAATGTGGAATCCTATGCAGTCCCATGTCAAGGAACATTTGAGTATGCAATGTGTTATAGCAAATCTTTCAGTCTCACTAAAACTGATCACAGGAAGTACATATACTTTCCAGGGGACACTTAAGTGACAGTTTCCTTATAGCATACACTGTATTCCTTTAGAATACAGTAGAATGTCGACCTCCCATTCTAATTTCTAACTATATTTTATAAACTTCTTCTTTCGTATAATCAAAACAGCATATAAAGAGGTGACACCAGAACTAAATTAGCATTTGTGGGGAGGAGATGTGACCTCCTAGTATAACAGAATCTGTTCACTAGATGCCTATAAATGATGCTTGAGCCATCTGAACGTCTTCAAATTTTTCCATGGAATTCTTCACTCTGTCATTACATGTCATGTATGGCACTTTTATATGTGAAGAAAATAAACTACCTTTCAATATTTTCTCCAATCAAAGTTCCCCTGGGTGCCAGTCCATGGTTTAATACAAAACGAGCAGCCAACATTTATGTGCTTCAATAGCAAAATGAGTAATGTAATGACCAAGGTACCCTTGACCACTTAACCTTGAGCAAAATTCTCTGACTTAATGATTTCCAACTTCCTATGAGCAAGTTTTAATTCAAAGATTTTGTTTCAATCTTTCCATCAGTGAAGATTTTGTAGAACTTCATTTTCTACGGTTTGCAGCCTAAATGAACTAAAATTTGTTATAGTTACTTTTCAAACATAAAATTAAATTGTGAAATGTGCTGTTTCAAACAACCCCGCAGATCTGCTACTAGATGACTCTTACCTGATACAGCCCCAAAGCCTTACTGCCCCTCTGCCTTTTGCCACATGTAGTTGGTTCATTCGTGACATCATAGCCCAAGGCCTCAGATCATAATCTGTCATAATAAAGTGAGATTGATGGGCTTTCTCTACATCTAAGATCTTTATAAAAGAAATTAGAAAATTTTCTCTGGAAGAAGACAAAGTCCCTGTTTTCTAATAGTGATAAAACTTTACCTGTCCAAGAACACAAATGAGCCCCCTATGACTTCCTGCAATATTTCTAGGATGGAGATTATGGAGATTTGCTTTGATTTTCTTAGTCTCATCTTGTGCAGTTGCATATTCAGAGAGTCCTGAGTGGAGTTCCATAACTTCAGGAACACTTAGTTACTTCTTGGTTAATACTACACAATACTGGACTCACCCTGACCTACCTGGCATTTAGCATTTGTGATAAGAATCATTGCTCTAGGCCAAGGCATTCTAACTGACGGTGGAGCTCAGCAAAAGTGCATATGGGGTTCAATCAATAAATGTCTGTGTTATGCAGAAGAGACAGAAAAACCACATTATCTTGAAGAGAAACATTCTGTTCTGAAAGGATCCATTAGTTTTTGTTCAGGTCTTCTACAGATTTTTGTTAATGGGCTGAAGTTCTACTATTCTTTTCTAACATTAGGAGCTTACCTCTTCTTTCCATGCTCACTGTCTTCACATCATTTAGCACATTTCAAATGGTTTCTCCACCTAGAAAGATAGCACAGAAAGGGTAAACCCCTGAAATAGGTATTTTCATTCTCGACGCTTCCAGGGGGCTGTGGATAATTATTTCCCAAAGCAGAGAATGTCTTATGTGTAGAAGGAGCAACCACTGAGAAGTAGAACTCCCAGAGGAGAAAGTGCTTCAGTTTTCCAACCCACAGAAATGGTAAGTATCCAGCTTTCTATGTCTTTTCCTTGGCTGCCAAGATGTCCAGAAAGATGCATTCAAAAGCTCTCCAAGCTTGCAGTTTTACTAATGATTTTCTAATTTACTTTCCTAAGGTACATACCAATCAATGGTAATATTAGTTCTTAGGTATTTTGACTTATGTATTTCGGGGAAAGACCAATAATGTAACTTTATCTTTCCCTTCCCTTCTTTCAACTTTCGTATTTCTTCCACTTCCCTGGGACTGCATCCTTTCAACTTTCGTATTTCTTCCATTTCGTATTTCTACCCCCACTACCTTCCCTTACTCTTAGTGATGCTCAATCTTGCCTCCCAACAAGAGGCTAAAAGCTCATGCTCGAAGTAATTTCCCAGGACATGGTTTTCTGAAGGTGAATTTTTCATAGGAAAAATCAAATATGACATTCCACCTACAACAGTCTTGAGAACATAATATGGCATCTACACAGCTGTTGAGGACTGGTTATACTCTAAGCTTGTGAAATACAGCAGTATTGTTGAGTTTTCTACCTCTTGGAATCATACTTACCATGCTTCATTGCCCACCTGTCTGGCTGTCTATCAATGTACACAGATAGATAGATAGATAGATAGATAGATAGATAGATAGATAGATAGACAGACAGACAGACAGACAGACAGACAGACAGACAGACAGGCAGGCAGGCAGGCAGGCAGGCAGGCAGGCAGGCAGCAAACAACATATACATCCCAATTCCTTTAAGAGTTTCTATGAAGTATGCAAATATATAAATATAAAAATATATAGCTTCCATGTCTCTATCTACCCAAATCCAAGAATGTATTATAGTAAGAAGAAATTAATTTACTAGGATGAGCCTACCATTTTCAGTGCTGCAATTGTCTATACGGTTGGGCCTAGAGCTTTTTAGACACTTAGTCCTACATTCCCAAAAAACTTTTAATTTACTCTTCACTGGACTCTGTGAAATCATAAAGTAAGAGATGAAACAGATCTTGCCTAAAAATGTGATTTTAGGTTTTCAGTGATACCCCATAATATAAAAATCAGATTCTTAAAGAGAAACTTGTATAAATATTGCTGCTAAAAGTGGTATAATCCAGATGGCTAGTGTTTGGACATGGCTTTTGCTTTTCTTTATTCACTTTAGCATTGCACTAAGAAAGAAATTTGGAAATATTTTACTTTTGAATGATGCTCCTATAGTGTAACAGGGCTAAAATGATGATATGGATAAGAATATCAATGTTGGGGCCATGGAGATAGTGCAGTGGTCTAAGCACTTGCCTGGCAAGCACAGAGACCCAGGATTGATCCCTGGGACTGCATTCCATGCCAGCCCCAGAGCCCTGGATACACAGTGCTGACCCCAAAACCGGGTGTGGTGGCACATGCCTGTAATCCCAGCACTGGGGAAACTGAGGCAGGAGGATCATTATGAGTTTAAGCTGCATATCCAGACCCTGTACCAAATATATCCATATATATGTATATATGATTTTTAAAATAAAAAAGAATTATCGATGTTAACAGGAATATATTTTAAAAAGAAAGAATTTAGCACAAGTAAAACACATAAGGCAGAATTTCATCATGTATTATCCTTGACTAAGATATTTAAAAGTCATTACATTTAAGGAAGATAAATTTCCACTTTCTGGAGACAGTTATACAATTTTCACTGACATTCTCAGGTTTCACATGAAAATTAAAGCTGAGCATACATAAACTTTGGCTTTGATAACCAAAGAAAAGCATGTTTTGGGCACACTTTCCTTACTGTTCAGTTACTTAGTGGAATCCACTAGATCTGTACAGATATCTTAAAAGTTCTTTCAATAAATTCCTTTCCTTCTATATTTTAATCTATAAGGTTTTTAAATTCTCTACTTGGTAATTTAATACTTACTTTTATAAAATGATGGCTCAATTTGGATATTGCTATTTAGATTTTAAAATTCTGCTTTGAATCTTTATTCCACCAAAAGATTCCACTTTACCAAGTACAAAAATAAAGATTTCAAGTATTAGTTACATTATTTCTCTGAAAACTGCACAGTGCTTCCATATTACCTCTGCTACACCTGTAGAAATAGATTCACAAAAGTAAAATAGCTTATGTGTGTCAAGCACAGGGAATTGCATTTTAGATGTCCAAGACTGAGCAGAAGTTCATGCTCGATTAATATTCCTTCCTGTCAACTCTCTCATTCAAATGGAAAAAGGTGGAGAGAAGGGAAAGAAATGCATCCTTGGTTTTCTTTTTTTTTAAGCTAAAGACGCAAATTCAAAGAGTGTTTAAAATGTCAAATGCATGTATCCTTTCAAAAACAAAAGTAAAATTTTAAATAAAAGAACTCATTTTTCTTCTTTTCACTTAGTAAGGATTTCTACTAGTCTTTAGCACCAATGAGGGCTTCTTACTTGGGTGAGTGTTGCAAGAAGCTCTTAAAACATATTGTGGTCATGGTCAAATGCATGAGATTTTTTATTTCCTCTTGAAAGAGCACAAAGCAGGCAGACAACCATGCATTAAGATGTTTTCTAAACTACTTGTCTTGGCATATTGGCAGAAAAACAACAGAAACTTCACCCAGTCCTGCCACAAATACTTAACCATATACCATCACAAATACTTAACCATATACCATCACCTATATCTCCTCTTCCCCTCCCAGCATTTAGGATGGGTAGTCTCAACTGAAGCAGCCCTTGATTTTCAAATACATTGATTGCCCTGTCTCTGGTGTTTTTCCTGAAGATATTACTAGCAGATAGACTAACCCTTCCAGCCACTTGATGGGCGATACTTCTGGGGGTGATGTCAGATGTGGCATTGCGGAAAAGATAGTGATATTCGTGCAAGTCATTCAAGCCTGTTTCACCAATTGCTTCATTATTTATTGAACTGTTTGGGAC